AATGTATGGACAGTTGTTAATATGTCAACCATCTTTAGAGTTCGGTATGCATATTTTCATGTGGGACTTGTTCAACAGTGCAAGGGATAATGAGGTTTAGTTGTCGATCCATTTCCAATCGATGGGTCATTTCTTTCCTCATCAACATATAGTAGTTATCCGAGTGTCTCTAGGCGGTACTTGTTGAAGGTGGAATTGATGCATCAAACCTTCGTCAAGTTCTGTAAGATTTATATCTTGGTCTCAGTGTATGTACTCTCGACTGTTTGATTTTGGAACTGTTGTTCTTAGTAGGATTGAGTTAGCAACCTTCCTTGGTTATCGGGAGTTCGGATGTAGGAGCACCACTGTTTAGTTTTCAGGAAGTGTTTGTGGTCTATGTAGAGTCCAGTTCTAGCAGGTCACGTCGTTTGGATTGGTATCGGGATTGATTCAACCAGTGTGTTGACAAGATTTCTAGGTAATTTTGGAATTCTTATCCGAATTTGGAAGTTCTATTGTTCAACATTTCTAGGACTTGTATATGTGGTTTGTGTTTTTTTGGCATATTTGGGTATTTTAAGCAGTATGGAAATACTACTGATGGCTCAGTAGCCGACAGGTTTGGGTCGGGGGTTGGTAGAATTTTGACTTGTTGGAAAAGTCATGGTTGTTTATCGGCAGTTCCTCATGGAGTTTTATTAGTGAATCTTTATTCGTTGTTGCGAGAACGGTTTCGAGTGAGTTGAGTTGCCAATGATGGAGTTCGTTGTAGGAATCTTGGATGGTTTGTTAGATGGTTGTACCCCTGAGCATATGGGAGTGTGGATGCTGCCCGGGATTTTCTTCCTGATTGAACCCTGTTATGCTTATGGGAGCGGTGAGATAGTGATAACTTCTCAGGAAGTCAAGTGTGTATTTGAGAACTTTTAGGCGATTTATGAATTTGGGATGGGTTGAAATTCTTGATCGAAATGTTTTGAGTATTGTTATGATTCGGTTTAGTAGTGTTCCTGGTCAGGGACTTGGGGTAAGTATGACGAGTGAATGATCATCAGCCATCAAGTATGTCTCTAAAGTTTAGACTATTGGGTTTCCAATTTTGTGAAGTACATTGATGGAGGTGGTTAGTAGTTCTAGTTTTGGGAGCTCCAGGCTTAAGTGGTTTTCGGTATGAGTTGGGACTTCGAGTTTGGAGAGAGAGGTAGTTGTTGCAGTTGCGTGTTGCAAGTGACCGTGTTGATTGTCGGAATCAATTGGGTTCTGGATGGTCTTTCGAGTTTGATATGCATGCATTGATTATATGAAGTGGTTGGAGGGAGCCTATGGACGGTGTTAGTTCATTTTGCAGAAAGTTCTAACCGAGTCAGATTTCGAGGACAAAGTCCAGTTTAAGTGGGGGAGAATTATAACATCTAGTTATAGAATGTTTCTAATTTCAGAATAGCGAGTCGTAAAATGGATCAAGAAAAGGTTTTGGGCTTCAAGGGAATAAATTATATACCCTATTAGATCTTGATAAGTGATTAAACCCTTCGAATGGTGCTTTGAAGAAAAAGGGTAAAATTGGAAAAGTAAAATTCCGGTCTTCTTGCATGGATTACGGTTTTATTTAATCATGTGTTAAGTCAAAAGTAATTAAATAGGGTTACGGGGCTCATCAATACCTTTCCATGCATATAAAGATTGCCAAAAACGGAGTTGAAACGAAGAAGTTACGAGTGTTTGAAGTTGGAATGGAATTAGGTGAAAACCTGTTGTCACGAGGTGAGAAGCATATTTTCACGACGTGAGGAGCCTATCATGGCGTGATAAGTAGGCTGCACGAGGTGAGATCTGGGTAGCACAAGCGCACATGTAACACTCCAAAATTCGTAAATTTAAAATTTTTAAAATAAACCATTAACCGTAATTGTTTACAAAAAGAGTCATTGTTTCAAAAGAAAAATCATATCAGAGTGTCCCAAAAATCCATAACATGAAAATAGGAATATGTGCACGATCAGGCCTTTGCTTTCCCACGATCCTCAAAAGTACTTGAAACAATAAACTAAAACTGTAAGCCAAAGATTAATGAGTTCCCCCAAAGTACCAAACACACCACATAGCAAACAAAGCATGCAAATACGAGCCTTCATCCTGACTGGACTGCTTTGCAGGGCCTACAGCCTATCTGGGCCGATCTACAGGCCTTTGGCCTGACTGGACCGCCTTGTATGTCCTATATCCTATCCGGACCGCCCCGGGTATCTTGGCCTTCAACACAAAGCATGACTGCCTCAACCCAACCACCATCAGGGAGGTTGACCACGTACGCGCTGCGTACTCAGATTACATAGGGCGTAAACCCAGTCTCCCCAAAATCTCATTAAGAGCTTAATACCTTAAGCTCTTATGTCCAAATTTCAGATCCACGACCAAATCATCCTCAAGAGTCATAAAGTTTCCAACTTTATGACTTCGCATGTCCATTAAGTGCTTAACTCAACATCTTAATACATTAAGACCTTCCAAGGAATGCATGGATCAAAACCAACCATTAAGACCCCATTTCTATGACTCAAGACTCTTCCTAAGGTCTGAAAGGACAGCTTAATGGGTCAAGAACATGCCATGCTCAAGCATCACCATTTTGGGACCAAAAAGTGACTTAAAAGAGCAAAAACCTAGATCTACAAGATGGATTGGAAAAGATGCAAACTTTATACATCCTTGAGGTTGCAAACAAAGATGAAATCCTAGATCCAAAATGCTCTCAAGCTCCAAGTTCTTCTCACCACCTTCTTCTTTATCCAAGGACACTTCTAAACACTCTAAAGGCTCCAAAATACTCTTCTTCTCTTAAGGTTTGCTTGGGGATTGATTTCACAGGAAAGAGGCTGAATAAGAATGAGATGTGAGGCTATATTGATGCTTAAATATGAGCGAAAACCCTAAAAATTAGGGTTGCATGATTTCCACGCACACCCTGCGTACGAGGTATACGCCCAACATACTAAGGCGAGACCTAGTACGCTTAACGTACACACGTACGCGCAACATACTACTCAAAGCCTGATTTTTACCAAAATGCCACCATGGCCCATTTACACTCTTCTATTTATTCAGGGATCAATATGCAATAAATCTCAATATAAGGGTCAACAATGAAAGTTCCTCAAAACAAGATGTTACATCCTCCCAAGGCCATCTGGTTAATTTCTTGACATCATCCGACAGCTTGGAACATACACTAATCATGAGAAGAGAGCTTTTTCGATAATGAACCAAATCATGATGAAGTTGTTCAACCTCTTGTCCATGTTGTTTTCCCAAAGTTTCAAAAAAAGTTTCCAGAGATTGTTTAGTTTCCTTTTTGTGATTGGAGATATTGGTAGAGAGTTTGTCAAGAATGGTAGTAACCAACGTTTGAAATTCCTCTAGCCTTCGGAGGCGAGAATCCGCTTATAGATTGGACTCTGAAAGAAAATTTTGAAAGCCTTGTCAAGATCTTCAGAAGTGATTGAAGGAGTTGCAATTGGAGCAGGAGTCGGAGCCGGAGGAGGATTTACTAATTGGTCCAGGATGACATCAATTTTGGCTTCAAGAAGCTTTAAATATAGGGAGCGACTAGATTGAGTATAGGATTTAAAATCTTTGGAAGGTCGGTTGGTGGAATCTGATGATGAAGCAGTTGGTTTTGCAGGAGGTTTCTAGGAAGTAGTAGTTGTATTTGGTGGAGGCCGAGGCTTGATGAAGATGTTGGTCATGATTCTAACTTATTCAAAGACATACTCATTAGAATCATTTCCAAATTGATTTTATTTTGAGCTTAGATTGGTACCAGAGAGAGTTTTCAAAGACGTATTCTTGGTTGTAGAGGTATGCGGAGGTGATAAGCGACCTTCGGCATGTTGTTTCCTCAGAAGCTCTTCTGTGTGATCTTTGATTCTGGCATACTCTTCTTCAGCTCGATGTTTTTCTTCGACAATGTTCTGTTCTACAACATCTTGTTCTTTTCTCTCTTTCTATTTCTTTTTTCATAACGTCATGAAGAGAATTCCATTGTTCAGTAGTACGTAGATCAACTTCTTTTTTTCCTTCTTTTCTTTTTTCTTCTCTCTCGCTCTTCCTTTTCTCTTCTGATTTTGGCTTCAATTGCTTTGTTTCAGTTTCAACCACCAGATTGATCAGGTTATTTAACACCTTTTGAAGGATAAGGATAGGTTATTCTTGAAAACCCATAATGATTAGATTGTAACACAAACACACACACATACACAGACCAGCCGTTCTAAAGAATTTTGTTTAAGAAATGATAGAGACCGAAGTATCCATCAGAGCCACACTTATAGGATGGTTTTTATGTCAGTTCTAAAAGGGTTTCCCATGGATATATCCATAGTTCTGGCAGCATAGGCTGGATCTAAAGCATTAGCTTCAGAAGTGGTGTGTGTAGAAATGAACAAGATATTCTCTTATAAGATCAAAGAATTTTACCTAAGCGGATGTCCTTTTGGGGATGAGTGGACAAATTTTTTCGAGTACCCTTTGAGAGGGAATAGTTGTGGAAGTGGACTTAACCCCTTTAGTTTTCAGACATCTCCTCCTTGAGGAGTCGAATAGAAGGCTTGAGGTTCCTCTGATCCGGCGTTGGATCTATTCACCCCCAGGCGGTTGAGAGTCTGTGGTGTGCGATAAGACGCGCCTTTTTGAAATAAGAGAGGGAATAGTAGTTTCTTTGTGTTTCTTCACAGTCTTTTTCATCTTTGGTGCTGGCTTGACCTTCGGAGGTGTGACTTCGGTCCTGGGGGCTTTATGTAGAGTTATTTTCGGGTATGGCGTACGATGATCCAATTTTGGTTCATCCGTATCCTTGATATGTTGGGCAAGAACTTCCAAATCTCTAGGAATGAGATCCAGAAGAGAAATATGTAGACGTTTGGATTCCCCGAAGTCAGTTTGATCCGTAAAGAGAAACGTTTCATTTGACGAGTTTCGACCATATATAGTGATTCATCAATGAGAATCCTGGAATCTTTCTATAGGGATTCTAGAAAGACTGCCCAGAAGTGAGTGTGAGGGATCTCCATGTTCTTCATGCCAATATATTCTTTGAAGTCATTCCGTATGTAGGTAACATAGTCTACCGGTCGTCCGGTGATGATTCCCCATAGTATTTGGAGCCAAACAGTGCTTAATTGACCAGTTTCACCAGTTTTTTCGGTGAGGCAATGGATGATGAGGAGAACGAGGAAGTTCCATGCGATGGGAAGTTTTGTTTTCTTGAAGTGACTATTGTTCTCAAGGGGGGCTTTGTGACCGATGGAGAGAAGTTTGCGAAAGATTTTGGTAGTGGATGGTGTTTTGTAGCATGAGAAAATAACTTCCCTAGGAAGACCATTTGACTCTAGAAAGATGTGTTTTTTGAGATACACGGTGTCACCGTTAATAAGCTCCAATTCAACTCGATCAAGTTTGTTGTCAAAAGAAGCTGTATCGTGAGCTCTGACAAGATATTCAAATGGAACCTTGTTGGTGGAGATAATGAGTGGGACGGACAAAGGATGACCTTTTAGGGGTTCGATCATTGGAGCAAGAACAACATCATACAATGATGTATCAAGAACAGCCTGAAGATTGCAGGAAGTTGTCTTGTAGAAGGCTTTGGGTTGAGATAAAGCAACTGGTTTCTTTGAGGAAGTACCAAACTTAGCCATGGAAGCGGATTGAAAGGAAGATGAATAAGATAGAGAAAGCAAGTAATTTGCATTGGAGAGGAAAACTGAAAGTTAATTAGTTAACGTGGGTTTGAGACACTGAAAGAGAAAGTCTTTATATGGGTTTGGATATCCGGAAATAATCGTGAACCGTCGGATAAATATTTTTAAAAGAAATGATAAGTACAATGCATTTAATGATAATGATAGAGTCATTAAGTGTCTTGGTTCAAAGGTTCCGACAAGAGGGTTGAAATAACCCAAAATGATGTGATATTATACTGACCAAAACATCGCTTTTTATTTTCTTTGAAAACTGGGTCAGAACTTGGAGAGAAAGAAAAACATTTAAACCATACACATGTCTTTTGAAAATATTTGTCCTTTTGAAGAGGGAGTAACTTGTTCTATTAGATGTATTCTCTGATGATTTTGAAAGGAAACACTCTTGTGGAGATCTGAGAGAATAAAATAGAATACTTATTTAAGACAAATCATAAGAACTCTATTTATTACACCTTTTTATTGATGGAAGTGAATTCTTCTGATGTGATAAAGAACATTGGACAAGAAAACTTTTAAGAGACAGAAGATTAGAGAAAACACACAATATAGCTACTGTCCGACGAAAACATCAGAATGCAGCTAAGTTCCATTTGGAAACAACTTCTGAGATTGATTTTTTTTTAAATATTCTGAAGTGCAAAGAAGGTTGTGATGAATCTCAGAGGATTCAGACATAGGCATATTTATGCTAAATTATTAGGGTAGGGATTAAGCACCCCTAACATGTTAAGAAGATTATTGAATGTGGTTGAATCAAGAGCATTCGTAAATACATCTACAAATTCTTCTATTGTGGGAACAAAAATGATTTCAATATTTTCCTTCAAGATGTTGTCTTTAAAAAAACTGATATTGAATATCAATATGTTTTGTTAATGACTGTTGGATTGGATTATGATATATTGCAATAGTACTCTTTGAATCACAGTAAATAGGTACCTTTACCATACGATATCCATAGTCCAGAAGTTGAGACTTCTTCCAGAGAACGTGGGAACAACAACTTGCAACAACAACGTACTATGCTTCGACAGTGGATATAGAGATGCAATTTTGCTTCTTTGAGGACCAACTGACAATTCGTCCTCCAAGGAATTGACATCATCCGGATGTACTCTTTCGATCAAGTTTGCATCCAGCATGATCAGAATCAGTGAAAGCTTGAAGACTAAAGTCATTTCCGATTGGATACCATAAACCCAAGGATTTAGTTCCTCGAAGATATCGAAGGATCTGTTTGATAGTAATGTGATGTGAGACTTTCGGGTTGGCCTGGTATCAGGCACATTGGCAAGTGGCGAACAGGATATCAGGTCTACTTACAGTAAAGTATAGAAGCGATCCAATCATTCCTCGATAAACCTTTTCATCTACTGATTCACCAGAAAGATCAACAGACATCTTCGCTCCGAATGACATAGTACTTCTTGAGAAGTTCAAAAGTGTATTAAGTTTGATAAACAAATGTACCTTGAATAGATTACTTTACCTGTAGATCTAGAAAAAAAATTCATTTCACAATTCATGCTCATTTGAAATTTACTTACCATAAGTTTTGAGAATTCGGGAACCATGGATTCATCTATTGATATGAATATGATGTCATCAACATAAATCTGCAAAAGCATCAGATACTTCTGATTTGACCTTCTAAATAGCGTTGGATCAAAAATTCCTCTAATGAACCCATATTCTTCCAGAAACTTCGTCAAAGTTCTGTACCAAGCTCGAGGAGCCTATTTGAGGCCATATACTACTTTGATGAGCTTGTAGTAGTGATTTGGAAGATCGAGGTTTTCAAAACTTGGAAGTTGCTAGAGATAGACTATTCTTTTAATTCTCCATTGAGAAAAGCACTTTTCACGTCCATTTGATGAACTTTGATGTTTTTATGAGCTGCGTAGGCTAGAAAGATTCATATAGCTTCTAATCTTGCGACATGAGCGTATGTTTCATCATAGTCTATACATTTTTTGACTGTAGCCTTTATCAACTAATCTAGATTTGTTTTGAATGCCAATTCCAGCTTCAACAACTTTGTTTCTGAATACCTAACGAGTTCAAACAAATTCTTGGAGGGACGAAGATCCATAATTTATTTCTTTCAAACTCAGCCAGTTCTTCTTGCATGGTCGTGATCCAGTAAGAACTTTTTAGCGCATCATGGATTTTATTAGGCTCAGTCAGTGAAATAAATGCGGCATAGTGACACTCATGTTGAATAGATTTTGCTGATCTGGTTTGAACACCAACATTGGGATTGCCAATGACTTGATTTGGTGGATGATCCTTAGTACAAATGTAGAGGCAAGGGGTAATGTAATCTGTTGCAGCAGTTGATGTGATTTTTCATGAGTTGAATTTTGTGTATCATTTTGAAAAACCAATGTAATCTCCCCTTGAATAGATGAATCACCAGAAAGAATGTTTTCAGAAGGTGTTTTCGCATTGGTCAATCATTCAATAGTTGTAATTTGGGATTAAGTGTCATAGTTGGTAGCTTCGGAAGGAATGGTGTCTTCTGGAATCGTTGTAGGACAAGGAGTAGAAGGAACTTGCTCCCCTTCAATTGGTGAGGAAGGCTCTACATTGATATTCTCCCCCTCAACTGGAGAATCAGTAGTTTCTCTGGTTGAAGCTTCTAACAGAAGGGGTCCAGAAGAATTTGTGGACACTGAAACTTCGTTTGGTTGAATGACATCAACATCTAGAGCAACTTTGGGTGGTCGGAAAAGAGATTCAAGGTCGATGTTAATGATAACTTGTTGAACTTGTGTGTCCGTCTTAGGTTAATCACTTTCCAAAATGTGGGAAGTAACATGAGTGTGAGATATGTTGCGGACAAATAAGTCATCAAACATGATATCAATGCTTTCTTCAATGAGACATGTTCTTCTATTCAGAACCATGTAGGTAACTCCTCTGATGGAATAACCCTGAAAGATGGCTTCATCATATTTTGGTTGAAATTTGTTGAGATGATATTTATTGTTTTTGATAAAACACTTGCAACCAAAGATGCGAAAAAATTGAACATTAGGTTCTTACAATTTAGAGCCTGATACGAACTGCATTTGATTCTTTTGTTGATAATGCTTCGGTTCAGAACAAAACAAGCGGTGGCGACAACTTTTGCCCATAAGTGTAACAAAAGATTTGCAAAGTTGAGCATTGATCTGGCTGATTCGATGAGGGTTTGGTTTCTTCATTCAACAACTCCATTCTATTGAGGAATGTAAGGAGCTGAGAAATTATGGTCAATGCCTTTGTACACAAGGAACATGTTGAGAGTGGCATTAGTAAATTCGGTTCCATTATCACTTCGGATGCTTCAGACGAGAAGCTTCATTCGAACTTCAACGCCTTTGATGAAATTGATCAATTCTTGAGTAGATTCATATTTTGACGAAGAAATAAGATCCATGTAAAATGATTGTGATAATCAACACTCACCAGAATATATTTCTTCCGAGACATACTTTCATTTACTGAAGGGCCACAAAGATCAATATGGAGAACTGCAGAGGATCTTTCATAGTCGAATCAAGAATCAGACGGTTACATTTTCTTCTGATATTCCCATATTCACAGGAAGCATAGAGGGTGTTGCTATCAAAATTCATTATTTGCATGCCTCACACATGTTCACCAGTCACGAGATTGTTGACGTACTTGAAATTGAGATAAGCAAGATGCCGGTGCCACAACCAGCTTTTGTTAGAAGCAGCTTTGATAAGAAAACATAGTTGAGGTTTTCCTATCATATGCTCAATATCTAGAGGGTACATATTTCCATTTCTTCTAGAAGCGATGAAGCACTTAGAACGGTCTTGAGACATGACATGGATGTGCTTATCATCGAATTCAAACTCGAAATTTGGCAACACTGATGAGATTATGTTTGAGATTTGTAACATATGCGACCTTCTGAATTGTAAATGTGTCGTTGGTGAGTACGCCATGACCCTTCATGATTCCATTTGATTAATTTCCATATGCAACATATTCAATCTTGGTTTCTGGTCGCAAGTCTCGCAAGAATGCCAATCTACCAGTCATGTGTAAGGAACAAGCACTATCTATAAACCAATTCTTCTCTCGCTTGTCCAGACACGTTTCTTGCAAACGATTAAACAGTTAGTTTTGGCACCCATGATTTCTTGGGGCCGGAGGTTTTGTTGACAGACAAAATTGAAACAGAAGTTGATGATAGTTTTGTATGAGGCCGATGAGATCTAGAAGAGACAACTGGATAAATGCAAAAGGTAGGGTTAGTTTCATGTATCCATAAATCATAACGAACAGTTGACTTAGGTATGTATTGTATTGGAATATGTTCCTAAACAGGTTCTAGAGGAATGAATTTCTCTTCTGTACTGTCCGAGGATTCGGGAACATGAGGCGTTGGAAGTGATTTTCTAGTCAAGATTTTAACAGGTGGAACATGTTGTTTGACTCTGGATCTATCAAAATTTGAACCTGATCTATTATTAACCTTATCATAATATTATTTTCTTACTTTCAGGTTAAGTCTAAACTTTGATTCCTGAGCAACTGTTGGTTGAGCTTCTGTTCTGGGAGATAGAATATTAGAACAGTTTAATTGAGGCATTTTTTGGTCGATGGTTCCAGAGATTTCTTTTGTCTAGAGGTGAATGACTCTTTCTGAGTTCCTAAACTTTGTACTTCTACAGGATTTGTAGCATTATAGACAATTGGAACAGTCGGACATGTTTTTTTTGAGTCAAGATTACCAGAAATTTTGATTTTTGAATCACTTTTGGGTTTGAAAATAACAATTTTTGCAAATGAGAGAGGAGCATTATTAAAGGTTTGTGTTGGTTCTAACAGAGGAGTCTGTGGACTCAGAGGATCATCATAAATGACAAGCTCTTCATCCATAGGTTCTTCATCAGATTAACCAACCTAAATAA